ACCCCTAAAAAATAAAAAATTTACAAAAAAAAAATCATACTCCCTTTAAAAGTTTAGGTTTTTGACTTTAATGTACTATTTTTTATAAATTATATTTAATGTGAATCCACCATATAATTTTAAATGTGGTCATTATAATTTTAATCGATTGACTATATATGTATATAGACCATAAATTACTTTACTTTCTCGCATGAACTAATTTTAATCGATTGACTATATATGTATATAGACCATAAATTACTTTACTTTCTCGCATGAACTAATATTTGGCACTTAATAGTTTAAATTATTAAGACCATAAATTACTTTACTTTCTCGCATGAACTAATATTTGGCACTTAATAGTTTAAATTATTACTTTGAAATTATATTTATTTATTTACCTATAGGATAATATAATTTCAATTCCTATTTTTTACTTAAGATTTATTTTATAGTTTCACGTATCAAATTAGTAACTAAAAAATAATTATTTATGCTTAAATTAGAATGATTGTAGTTGGTCACTCACTATGAAATTTTTATGAAGATATATACATTACTTTCTATAGCTCTTTTGCACTGTCCATGTATATTTTATCAATTAGTTGTTAATTTGACATATTATATTACTTTTTCTTTGTAGAAATTCTTCTTTGACTTTTGGATTATGTAATCACTATGTCACCATTCTAACGTAGACAGAACCTCATTCTAAATGGCTTCAAGCCAATGTTTGAGTTGAACTGAAGTATATACTATTGCTATTATATGTATATATATATTTTTAAGAAAATCATATCTACACTTTTTAAACAAAAAATAATATTCTAACCTCTGATATTATAAAAATAAAATAGATTCAATCGAGTGACTAACAAAAGAGGACTTACATCAGAAAAGTATGAATATTAAGATAAAGAGAAAAAAATAATGGTATTGCCAACAGTATTACCAATAGCAAACTACAATGTAAAGTTAACCTATTTTATGGAGCCCAACTATTGGCTATAAGCATCGAGGTTTCCATATATATACTTTATAATTTATTAAAAATGGTATAAAATCTTATATAATAAAATTATTTTAATATTAAATAGTAATATCATTGTAAATGAGCAATTATAAAGATGTTAGGGACTAACATGTATGTATTTAAGATTTCAGGACGAATATCTTAATAACTTATTTATATAAGCACACCCACTTTCTCACCTATTCGGTTCACTTTTCTCCTCGCTCATTCTCCATCAATTTTGCTGTCACGCTTGAAGAGAAATAGAATTCATGTCGGTGAGGTTTTCTCTCCCTCTATCCCTCGATCTCATATTTTTTTAATTAGTTTCTTTAATTCTCTTTTAATAATTTCTTAGATCCATTTCATGCTTCATTCCGTGAAGTGCTTTTTAGATTCAATTTAAATAAACTTTTATTTTAATTATTATTTGTTCTATTTATGGGTCAATTAATCACCAGAATATTTAGGTCTTTTCGCCCATTTTATATTTTGAATTAACAGTTTATTTTAGGAGAATTTTTAAAAAGATTATTTTTTAAAAATATTAGCAAAATCGACTGTTTTACATAATAATTAATAAAATTGACCTATTTTTTGCCACACCATCAAGACTGGCAACAAAGATGTCAATTTTGTATAAAAATCATATTTAAAATGCACGGGACTAATAGTCCTGTGTAATTAGAGAATATTAATTACAAAAGCAATTAAAGTTAGAAAATACACGGGACTACCACTCTTGCGTATTTTACAGTCAGAACCATAAAATATATGAGACTACTGTATATGTCCTATATATAATATAACTGCTTCATGTAAGTGAGTTATAATAGCATTTTCCATTCACGTTATTTGGAATAAGATTTGATAGGACCTTGCATCAAAGAGATTTTTTATATTTAAAGTACATGGCAAAATATATCATAATCTCTCTGCTCTAATTTTGCAAGAAAATAATTCTTCATACTTTCAGTTTTACTTCTATGGTACGGAGAATGAGCTATAAAATTGAATGAGAAGAAAATAATTCTTCATACTTTCAGTTTTACTTCTATGGTACGGAGAATGAGCTATAAAATTGAATGAGAATATTAGATAACACTTCTATGGTACGGAGAATGAGCTATAAAATTGAATGAGAATATTAGATAACGTAAATATGAGTGAAATCACAACTAAAAGTTAATGTGAATATGAGTCAAACGATAAATAAAAGTTTAATGGACATATTGTAAATAAATTTATATGAAAAATTCCTTTGCGAATTGAATGATCACCCATCTTTTAAAGACTTCAAGATTCTAATAAACAAAGATACTGACTAGATCAATGTGTTTATAACTCACAAATAGTAGATCACGTGGCGACAGTCTGAATTGAAGGAAATAATGACAATATTTCATTTGAAAGAGAGATTATTGTGTTGATAATCAATCCTAAAAAAAACTTTATTTTCTCTTTTATTTTTATTCTATTTTTATCAATTTAAATAACCATGATATTCGACTACGTGCATTGCACGTGCAATGTAACTAGTATAGCTAAATTTGAAACATTCAGCATAAGCGTTGCATTTTTATAGCAGGTTGGAACTAACTTGGAAGGCGCCTTGGGGGTCTCTTTAGGCTTGACAACGTGCTGGGATGGTCTTTTACAGAAAATTCAAATTTCATATGTACAAGGAATATTCTTAGTTTTGAACTAAACTATTTGTTTTTTCAATTTTATTGATAATTGATTTTTTGAAAATTAATATTTATTCTTAAATGGCTGTATTTTGGCATAAATAAATGCCTTAATCTCAAATCTCCGAAGAGGATTAAAAAACACATTAAGTTAAAAAATTGGCACTAAATAAATGACGGACCCGCCGAATTAGATTGAGAAAATAGGATTTCAATCTAAATATATAATAGGGAAAAACGTAGATCCTAAAATCATATTTTGCAACCACCTTCCTTTTAAAATTTTCCATAAAGTAAAATGGAAAGGTTAAATATTGAACTTATTAATTATGACAGAAATTACATTCATGATACTAGAATCTGCATCTAAACATAATCCGATCTTGGAAAAGAATATAAACGCTAGTATTAAAAAAATGAAGCTCGTTAAAACTTACCTAATAAGTTTAGTTAGAAACTTAGAATACCAAATAAAAATGGCACGCCAATATAACTGTGAGTCGTGAGAAAAGCAGTTTAGATTCTGTTATGTTTCTGGTTTGGATACCCAGGTTGTTGGGGCTCAAATTAAAGATTACATTTTATCTCTTATGTTTTTTTCAGTCACAAAATAGGCGTTATTTCTGTTACTTTCGAGAAGAATGCATGTTTGGTTGATAGAAGTATTAAAAGTAAGAAGTAAATCAAATTTATTACTTCTGAAATTATGAATTAGGAAGTAGCGGAAATACTTCTTTTTTTGTTTGTTTCGTAAACTTTTGAAAGTAGAGGAAATAATGTTTCTTTCACTTCATCAACTTTTTTTTTGTTTGTTAGCAATAATAAATATTGTTAGGAAGAGAAAAAGATGATTTTTTTTTGGATTTTGTTTAGAGTATGAAAATATCCATATAATAACAAAAATGATTTTATTCCTAAATTGACTCGATTTCATCTACTTCCGAGGTATTTAAGAGCCTTGAGGGGAAGAAATAGATCCAAGAAATATAGATGCCATGTAGGTGCCACGTCAATTTCTAAGAAAGTATTAGAATTAAGTAGCGTTTTCAAAGAAACAAACATACTTTATTTAACCATCTCTGCGATTTTCGTTATAATCCGCTGTCGATCTCTTCATTCGCATGAAAGATGAAGCGGGGTATTGAAGTCTTCATTTCAAAACGAAATTATTAGGTAATAATTATTCAGAAGGAAAACGGAAAAGCTGTTCATTTACAACTGCACAATACCAAACAATCCTCCAAGGATTGTTTGGTATTGTGCAGTTGTAAATGCGGCAAATATTGCAGGCATCATTAGTTGCATGAAATTAACCTCAAGTCAGTCATTTTGAATATTTACATTTTATTATGGGAATGCATTTCCAAATTCAAAATCAATGTCGGGTTCGCTCGGAAGACACATGTTCATCGCAAATCAAGTCAAATTTGTATTAAAAAAAAGATCTATACTCTCTAATTTGTTTTAACTAACTTGATGACATGGTATGGACTAAAAACTTGCATTTGCTAGTGTTTGTTTTCCCCTGAAAAGTGTAAATCCAATCTTCGTTTCCGAGTACTTTTTCACTAAATAATTAACAAATTAACAAACATTGTAAATAATTTGCTGCTGCAACTCTATTTCCGGTCAATCAAACGGCCACAAGATGGCAAACCAATTCAAATTAGAAAGCGTAAGAATCAAAAGCTATCGATAAAAAGTAGCCATCCGAATTATTAGATAATTACAAAAGACATCGTTATTGTCGACCCGGCCGAGGAGTCTTATGCGTACCTGTCGTAGTTTACAAGGGGGAAGTTGGACTTGGGCTCCCCGCATTTTTCTGGTCCCATTTTAATAAATTTTTTTTAATTTTTTTTTTTCCGCTGCGTCCGCGGCTATAAAATCCGGAACCCACCGGCCCCTCAATCCTCCATCACCAGCGTCATTCCCTAATTTATTTATTATTCCACCCAGCAAAACCCACAATTTAGAGGAAGAGGAAGGGCCCCCCAGGATAAAAGAAATCCTACTTCGGGGGCTCTGGTTAATTTTGGGCGAAGCGGAGAGGCTGTATCCGAACGGCTACGTTTAGTCGGTTCCGGAGAGAGGAGAGGAGGTCCTCAGAAAAAGTGGGGAGGAAAAAGTGGGCGATTAACAATTAAATCTTCCACCCCCATCCATTCGCCCGCTGCTGCTTCTCCTTCTTAATAATAATAATAATAATAATAATAAAATAATAGTAATCTCGGCACTTATCATCAGGCGAAAATTCGTTTTAGCCCCCTCACCCCCCCCAAAAAAAAAATAAGGGGGAAAAAAACAGAGGAGGAGATCTCTTCAGACTAGGTTCCGCTTTTCCTCTTTTTCTTTTTATATATATATATATAGAAAAAAGCAGATCGAAAAGGTGAGGGCTTTTTCTATAAATTGTTCTCCTTTGAAGAAGAAGAAGAAAGAAGAAGATTCCAGATGCCGGAAGGAGGGGGGTACTACAGTTCGAAGAAGACTGATGACATCTGCGAGGATGTTTGCGGCCCGGTAATCCATTTCTTTCAGATCTGTTCCTTTACTTTTATCATTTCCATCCTTCTTTTTTTTTTAAAGATTTTTATTTGGGAATCTTATCTTGGGGCAAAACCCCCTAATATTAAAAAAAAATTCAAATAAATGGGGGGAAAAAAGGCCCGTCAATTTGAATCCTGTAAAATTGGGGTTTTGGATTTTCCCTAATAATAATAAGTGGCTGGTGGGTGTTGGAAATTTCAGCAGACAACGAAAGCGGCGCTGAGCATGTCGAGGCTACGGTGCGCACTTCGAGGGTTCGATCTCAAAGCGCTGCTGGTTCTGTTCGTGGGTGTTCCTGTGTTCATACTGATGGTATATCTCCATGGCCAAAAGTTCACTTACTTCCTCCGCCCCATCTGGGAGAAGGCACCCAAACCCTTCAACCCCATCCCCCATTACTACGACAGCAACGTCACCATGGACAGCCTCTGCCGCCTCCACGGCTGGAACGTCCGAGAGACCCCGAGGAGGGTATTCGACGCCGTCCTCTTCAGCAACGAGCTCGACATTCTCGCCATCCGCTGGAAGGAGCTCCACCCTTACGTCTCCGAGTTTGTCCTCCTCGAGTCCAATTCCACCTTCACCGGATTGAGGAAGCCCCTTTTCTTTGCCAAGAACAGGGAGCAGTTCAAGTTTGTGGAGTCCAGGCTAACCTACGGGAGTGTGGGGGGACGGTTTGTGAAGGGGGAGAATCCATTCGTCGAGGAGTCGTACCAGCGGGTCGCTCTGGATCAGCTCATCAGGATCGCGGGCATCACCGATGACGATCTTTTGATCATGTCCGACGTTGATGAGATCCCGAGTGGCCATACTATCAATCTCCTGAGGTGGTGTGATGATATCCCAGAGATCCTCCACTTGCAGCTGAGGAACTACCTCTACTCATTCGAGTTCTTGTTGGATGATAAGAGCTGGAGGGCGTCGGTCCACAGGTACCGGGCTGGGAAGACAAGATATGCGCATTTCAGACAGACCGATGATCTGCTGGCTGACTCTGGGTGGCATTGTAGCTTCTGTTTCCGATACATCAGCGAGTTTGTGTTCAAGATGAAGGCCTACAGTCATGTTGATCGAGTCAGGTTTTCATACTACTTGAGCCCATCTAGAATTCAGGATGTGATATGCAAGGGTGCCGACCTGTTTGATATGCTCCCGGAGGAGTACACTTTTCAAGAGATCATAGCAAAGTTGGGTCCAATTCCAAGCACATATTCTGCAGTCAATCTCCCCGGATATCTGGTACAGAATGTTGACAAGTACAGATATCTCCTGCCGGGGAACTGCAAGAGGGAGAGTGGCTGAACTCTAGCATTCTTTTTTTATTAGGTGATGCCTTGCTCATGCTGCAGAAGTTGTATCTTGGTAACTGATTTTTGTGGCGTAAATAGGACATGATCGAGTATCTATCTAACTTAGATGGATGATTCTTCTGGGGAAGTTGGCAAGCTTGGATGCGTTTTCATGTTTATAATGTGAGATTATTGAAAGCTTTCTTTTGTAGTATCCGCGTATGCTTTCTTCGGGATCATTTCATTTGCCGAAGGAGCACTGCGAGGGATTGCAGTTACTTCCATGAGAGGCTATCTTGTCCCTTCTTCCCTTATCGGTATGTCATGTCACACTGGTTTGTGTAGAATGCAAATTTAGTGACGTTTTCCAAACTTTTTTGTGCTGTGGGGATTTGTTGTTACTTCAAACTAATTGATTCCTGTATTCTTCTTCGAATGTACCTGGGTCGTGTTTCAATCGACTCCTTTAATTTGTCATGTGATGCATTTCTATGGTTTGATGATAATGCTGATATTTTCACTATCAAATTAGGATGTTTTTTTTTTCTGGCATTCATATTAGATTGTATGACTATGTATTTGAACTCGTGAGGTTATGCATTAACACAATACTGTGGAACGTATAGATCCTCAAGAAACTAACTACTCTCATCTGTTAAATGTCTGCGACTTGGTGGCTAGTAGTTGTTTCATCCGCGGCAGTTTTGATTTTGCATTCTCAGAATAACATAGATCCTTTAAGCTGGATTTTCTATGGAGGACATTCAGTCCATAGGATATGTAGCTGTCCCGTTGGAGAGCATCGTGCGTGCGTGCGCGCGCACAGTTGAGTCCGCGTGTGTGTCTGTGTTTTAGGATGTATCTTAAAAATTTAGTCTGAATGAATTCATTCGTAGTAGCTGCTTTACTGCTGAACTTATAACTTGCTTCTACGACATGACTATTTGATTTGATTTTAGATCATCTGACTGATTTCTTCATTTCTTCTGTTACGGTTTGCATGCGAGCATCTCATGTTCCTATCATACTGAATTCATTGTTCAAGACATCCAGGGTTTTGATATACTTCTTTACGTAGAGGATTTCAAGTAAATTGAGTTCTATCGGTCCCGTCTTAAAATGCTTGAAGGGGTTACATTATTTATTGGCTAGGGGACTTAGGAAAATAACTATTTCTATTGTTCTAGGATTGAAACATTGGATATCTTTTTATCCAAATGTAGTAAATCTTTTTCCTTGATAATTTTGTTTCTGTTTCAAAAAATGTGTCTTTATGTTATATTCTGACATCTTAGCTAATAGTAACATGCATATGCTTCGCTTCCGAACGTAGTAATGTAGTAAATCTTTTCCCCTTGATAATTGTCTCTCTTTCAAAAATGTGTGTTTATGTTATATTCTGACATCTTATCTAATAGTAATATGCATATGCTTTGCTTCCGAAAGTAGTATGAGCTAAAATTCTTTCCGTACAGTGTCGTGGAGAATGTTATATACAGGGGCGGATCCAGGATTTTAGTTCTGGGGGGCCGCGTACAAAAGATAGATAAAAAATTTTCTTAATGTAATTTTATTCACAAGAGATATACCACAACCCACATAAAACGAGTAGAATAGCCAACATCAATATCTCCAAAATATTTCAAAAGAGGAAGATAAATATTATATAAAAAATAGTCAAATAAGCATCATCTATTTTTTTATAACTAAAATTTCTCTAACTAAAAGGAATTCGACGTTCCTTAACATTTTCAAAGCCTTCAATGATGGCATCAATGCTTAGACTTTTAGCAATTTCTCTTTCAATAAACACCATTAATGCGTCGGAGAGGAAAGCATCCTCCATTTTGCTTCGAAGTCTAGTCTTGACGGTATTCATAGCTGAGAATGATCGTTCTGCAGTAGCGGTAGAAACTGGAAGAGTAAGCACAAGTACGATCACTCTAAAAATGAGGTCGTATGTAGCAGATTTATTAGTCTTTACCAACCATTGACCCAACTCAGAAATGGTTGAAAGAGTTTTGAAGTCTGACCCTTTGACTACATTATGCTCATAATGTTTCAGTTGCATCTTCAAACTCTCTTTTTCTTCACTTGTAAAATCTTGTGCATAAAACTTGCCAACCAATTTGCATATATCTTGTATTCTCAAAGCCTCAGATGCATTTTGAGGATTTAAGGCAGAACTAAGCATGAGCAATTCTGTCGCATCTTCACTAAAACGCACATTAATTTCTTGCATTTGTGAATCAATCGTGACATAAAGAAAGTCTAATCGATAATGATGCCCAATGGTGATGTCTTGATGACCACGAGCTCATTCTGCCCATTCGCTAAATACCTCTCCATAAATTTCCAATTTCAATGAAACCCCCTTTATTAATCTTGTTGCTACTCATGGTAATATATTTACTATTAATATATACATAAAAACCTTCAAATAATTAATATTCACAAACTAATTTTTTTCCCCAAATTAGGAATAGAGCACCCTAATTTTTCCCCTAAAAATTTTGAGGGGGCTTAAAGAATAGAGCACTCTAATTTTTTCCCCCAAATTTTGGGGGGGCCGTGGCCCTCCTGGACTGTATGTAGATCCTCCCCTGGTTATATATATATATATGAGAAAAATGGGTATGCTTGGTACCAAGCACAAAATTTAGGGTTTGGTAGTGAGCTGGTACAATCCCCTCCACTCATTCAAATGGGGGACCACATTCACATGGGTTGAGGAGTGCATGAGGATATACAACCATTTGAATGAGTGAAGATGATTATGTCACATCACTACCAAGCACAACTTTTTGTGCTTGGTTCCAAACATGCCCATTTTTCTCATATATATACACACACAAGAT